AAAGACTTCTTAATGAACTAAAATAGATAAAATCATCACATACTTTTCAAGTAGACATTTAATGTATGTCTCACTTTTCACTACACAGACAAAACAATTTAAATTTTTTGTCATTTATAAAAAAAAAAATAACATGACATTACATTACAATTAATTCATAACAATCACTTTATAAAATAATTAATTGATGGAGATTAAATATGGCTGGTTTCAATTTAGTTTAGGCAATTTTATCTATGTCCTATTTTTTATTTATAATTAGTTTAATCTTTAATATGTATTACCTTTTAATTTTTGTCATTATGTAGAGTTTAGTTATTCAGATTTTAGTTATTGCTTTTAAATATGGATTGCAAGCCTTAATGGTAGGAAAAATGGTTTTTGAATAGAAATAAAATATTAATTGTTAGTTCTTCTTCAATTGCTTAAATTATCAGTATTTGATATTTAAAATTATCGAGTCCAAATTATCTGAATTTGTACGCGAATCAAAGAGATTTTAATACATAAATTTCTAGTATTCTTAGAATCAATTGAAATTAGAAGGTAATCGTGTTGCGTTATTCCTTTAAATTCAACAAAAGTTCGATGACGTGTTTGTTACATCGTTTCTTTGCTTCCGCCACCCTAAATCACAAATAGTAACAAGTCTTATGAAATAGAGGAGGATTTACTCAAGAACATAGTTTTGGCTTATAGGATGTCGCCGTTAGAACTTTCTATTTAATTGTATTTAAAAGCCCAATAAATTTGGATTTTTCTTTTGATCCATGTTATTTTGGGACAAACTGTTCAATTATGATGAAGAGAATGAACCAATGACTTTTTGTATAATGGAACTAAATGATTTTTTTTTTTAAAAGATATGGAATCAAATCAAATTGTTCGGTTTTAGTTTGGTTTAGTTCTAGTTTCATTTTTAAAACTCTTAAGTTAGTAATATATACTTTAATTAAAAAATTTTAAAAAATCCAACGTTCAGTAAGTTTAACTTATCAATCATCAAGATCACAAAAGTCCAAATTAACAAACATAATATAATCATAATTTGTACACACAAATCAGTTTTTATTCACACACAAGATTGTTTAATAAGTAATAGCAATTATTTACTAAATTAATTGAATCGGCTTTGGCGGCACATCCCCACAATAAGTGATGAATTACGCAAAACTTTTATATCCACTTTTACAAGCAACCATTAACCGTTTAATACTCAATAAATGTTTATTGGATTTTTCTCTATTTGTGAAAAACACAAATAATTCATCAAACAGTCATGATAAAAAAATAATTTAAAGGCTTTCTAAATGATAGACCAATTTTATCTCTCAATCTTGAAAGAGTATTCTCCATGGACGTGATGAATTGTGGTGCCAGTTTTCCACAGTATTGTGTAAATTATAAATGAGTGCAAAATTAAAATGTAAACAATTAATGAACAGTCTCCAATGATTCAGAACCGATTAATGGGCTGTATTTAATTAATGAATTGTTTCCAATGAATACAAAATTAGGTTCTCCAATATATATACGCGTGTATGTATGTATATACGTAAAATTAAACATTAAGGGCCTGTCTGTCTGCACTGAAAATTAAAATTCAGAATGTTGGAGAATTGAAAACACAAATGTTGGGCATGACAACTTTGACCAATTGTGAGTTGCGGACTCCTAGGCTTAGAAAATAACGGTAGGAAAATCCATTTTCTCCCTGAAAGAATCTCGGGCAGACAGGCCCTAAGTTTTATTTTGGTTCTGGTTTTCAATTCTAGAACTAGAATCAAACCAAACCAGAATCAAATGGTTCTCGATTTCAAAAATCAAAATCATTAATTTTTTTGGTAGAATCGAACTCGGTTTAGTTTAGTTTGGTATGGTCAAACATTTTGTTCACCCCTAGAATGAGCTTTGAAATAATAATTTGGAATTCATGCAGAGTATAACCATGCAATGCCAGATAAGAGATAGAACGTTCAATGAGCTAAGCTTTTTGAATAAGCCAATTCATTGAGAACCCATATGTCCCTTGTGGATAATAATAAGTAGTAATTAAAAATGTGTAATTAATATTAGTATTTGATTTTGACTAAATTCAATTCAAATTTCACCCAAGAGCTGTCAATAATTATCATTTTTTTAATTCCTTTATTGCAAGGAGACTTGAAATTAATGATGGTCACATCTATTTTGATATACAAAAGATTGCCTTTTCCAATTAAAATAAAAATTAGATCTATGTAAGTTTGTAACAAAAGAAATGATGGGTCCAAAAATGCGAGAATATTGCAGCTTGGGTCTCTAACATTTCAAAAGAGTGCAAATAGATCAAAATCTTTTCACTTTTGCATCGCCACCCCAAACCTCATGGTAAATATGCAATGCAAGGACTATCAGACAGAAAGAACATCTCTAATGGATTTGTGACTTGCTATAATTTTCTGCCAAGCAGCAAAATAGACACTTGGTTCAAAAAATTAGTCTATCTAAACAGGCTAATGTGACATGTAAAAAAAAAAAAATAGAGATGAGAGGTTTGTATATATGTGGAGATCGACGAACTAACTCGATTTTTTTATTACTTTTTTGGAGAAAGAAGAATCATAACAAGTCCCAATATCATACTCTGACAATTGATTTATTTCGTACAATAGAAAAAAGTTAACAATATTAGTATTGATTCGCTATGCTCTAAAGAAATAGTCAAAGTAAAATCTTTATCGAACGGTTGGAATAGATTTTCTATTAGATTTCTAGTGACTTTCTAGCCATTATACGGTGCTTTGTCGGTGATCAAAGCCGCAATCTTTTAATGAATTAGGTAGAATTATTTGTATCCTTATACTCTCATTTCATTCTTCAATACAATAGGATATTCCAGTAAAATGGTTCATGTGAAGTCAATAATTACTGCAGATTTAGAAACTCATCTATCATATCAACGATCAAAAGTTGGATTAAAATTGGGGAAAATTCGTTACCAGACATAGGCTTAGTAAATGTTACATTGAATTCTTCATAAAATTATATTTTTCGCAAAAACTTGATTTTTAAATTATATTCAAAAAATTACATTCATAAAATTATATTCATAAAATTAGTAAAGGTAATTACATAGGATTTAAAAACTTGATTTTATATATATATTATTTAAAATGAATTTTTTTTAGTTCTGAGCTAGTCGAGGACCGTTCACACGTACTCATCACCGACTACCTATTTTATCCTGCAGAATATGCCGAGATTGAAAACACGCACGATTGCCACCTTATAAAGGGTAAAGTGTCGTGCACGATGCACCAATGCCACGTGTGAGCTTGCATGCACCCGTCCCTCCAAGCCAAATACGCCTCCTGGCTCCATCTCAACATGCGAACCAAGTGCAGTTTTCTCAAATTCAACGGGATCGATCTGTGTTGTGGGATCAATTGGAGAAGAGAAAAGGAAAGGAAAATCAATGGAAGGAGTTAATGTTTCTACCCATCCAGAGATTCCTGGTGAGCCGACCCAGACAGGAACAGCCCTTCTTGAGAAGGCCACCGCCACTATTCAAGGGTTTGGCCCTGTTAACAAAATTCACCAGCATCTCTGCGCGTAAGCACTTTTTGGTTCCTACAATTTTTGGAGATTATTATGTTGCACACTATCGGTTTGTTAAAATGTCCGTTTGATTTCAGATTTCATTTCTATGGGCACGATATGACTCGACAGGTGGAGGCGCACCATTTCTGTGGACATCTAAACGAGGAATTCAGGCAATGTCTTATATACGACAGGCCAGATGATGATGGGCGGCTGATTGGGCTGGAATATATAGTATCTGAACAACTGTTCTTGACACTGCCAGATGAAGAGAAGAAATTCTGGCACTCTCACGAGTTTGAGGTGAAGAGTGGGGTTCTGTTCATGCCTGGAGTTCCCGGCCCCATCCAGCGCCAGGATTTAGAGAAGGTTGCCAAGACTTATGGTAAGGTGATTCACTTCTGGCAGGTTGATAAAGGTGACAATCTTCCCCTTGGAATCCCACAAGTTATGATGGCTCTCACTAGGGATGGCCAGCTCCATGAAAATCTTGCTAAAGGTAATAACGGGCATTTGTTTAGTTCATTGGTTCACCAGATTAGGTCGTATAAGAAATTAGATATAAAATTGAAATGGATAGTACTAGTTGGAACTTGGAGTGAATTGTTTCAAAAATCACTGAGTTTATACCATCGTCACGGACTGCTCACCGAACTTCATTCTGCTTCA